GGTGTGTTGGAACAAAAGCTGCATCTCTCAGTGGGTGTGCATCCTTTCTGGGGGGAAGGCAGGCAGCGGGTGCTGGCTGCTCAGCCGCCCCAGAGGCTGGGAGCATTTTGCTGAAGAGCTGGCGCGGTGGGCTCTGCTTTCCCTGATTCAAGGGGAGGTTGTCAAGAGGATGGGTCCAGTGTTTTTCAGCGGTTCCCAGTGAGAGGTGAAGAGGAAATGGGCACAAACTTGAACCTAACAAGTTCCCATCTCCCTGCCCAAGTGATAATCTCCTGAGGTGGTCACCAGGGGTACGTCTTTCATGAGGGTGGCATCTGGGGCTCCATGGTGCTGTGTGGGAGTCAGATAACAACACATCAGCCAAGGACACACTTGAGCAATGATGCTCCCGTGGTCAAAGGCAATATGTCTCGAGGTCAACCATCTTACCCCCAGAAATAGTCAACAGCCCAAGAGCATTGGAACAGGCTGCCCAGGGAGGTGGTTGAGTCACCACCCCTGGATGTGTTTAAGGGATGTTCAGATGTGGTACTGAGGGATATGGTGTAGGGGAGGACTTTGTAGAGTAGCGTAGATGGTTGGACTCGATGATCCCAAGGGTATCTTCCAACCTGGATGATTCTATGATAGTACATCATGGTGGTAAAGGGGAGGTTTCAAAAGAGATTTCCTATAATCCCTTCAGAACTGGGTGGAACAGACAACAGAGAAGTCTCAAGTGGAAGAAAAGTAACAATATCAAATACTTGAGAGTAAAGATGGCCTAGAACAGAGTAGAAAATGCGGTGCCAATGGTACTGCCTCCTTCTGCTCCCCTCCTCAACCCCCTTCCTTCCAGTGCAAGCCCATCACTCAGCGGTCTTGTGTTTCTTGTGTTACCACGGCTTTAGAAAGCAGGTATCTTGTACTGGGGCCAGTAGCTCTTAGTGGTCTATTTGAATATGAGATTTATGAAGCTGCAAACGGCCAGAAGCATCCACTCTAGGCAGTAATGGTTAGAGGGAGGTTCGGAAATAGGCTTTGCATGTTTAGCAGCACTTCTGAACTGGGGGTGCTTCCAGCTCTGCAGCCCGCTGGCCCTCTGTGAGCCTCACCCTGTGACGCTGGCTTTCTGCTCCAGGGCGGTCAGACAGACCACCCAATGTTGACGTCCCCAAGCTATACCCAACGCTAGCAGCTTAGCGAACGCCCGCTCGGAGCACGCAGGGGCCTTGCCTTGCCTTACAGAAAGTTATTTTTCAGCCTTTTAAAAACCGGGATACAGCCTGCAAATCCAGTTCAGGGTTTTCGGGGGGACAGAGGGAACGGGGGCGATACCCGGCGCTGCCCTCCCTCGCCCCACAGCCCTTCCAGCCCTGTGCGTGCGCACACGCTCGCTGGTTTTTCTCTTCTTTTTTCTTTTATTTTCCTGTTTCTTCCCCCCCCGTTTCTTTCCCCGAGGGCAGCGCCAGCGGAAGGAAGGCGGCGCGGAGCCCCCGCCGGCGGCCCGGCCCCATCCTCCGGGGCCGCTTTCGGTTTCCATTCTCCCTCTGCCCTGACGTTTCTTTTTCCCCGTCCTCTCGCAGCCCGGAGGAGCTTCCCTTGGCTCCCCGCCGGCTCTCCCGGTGCCGGGGCAGGGTGCCGCGCAGGCCGCGGGAGCGGGACCGGCAGCCGGAGCCGGGACCGGGACCGGGAGCGTGAGGGGGAGCGGGAGCGGTGCCGCCGCCACCGGCGGGTGCGGAGCCGCCCTCACCATGACGGCGGAGGAGAAGAGGAGCCTGCAGTGCTACCGGCGGTACATCGAGAAGAGCCTGAACCCCCTCTACCTCCTGAGCAACATGACGGAGTGGCTGTCGGACGGTGAGGGGCCGGCGTCCTTCCCGCTGCCGGCCGGGGCGGGGGGGCTTCCCTCGCCCCGCCGCTTCTGCCCAACTCCATCGCTCTTTGCCTGCTTCCCTTGGGGTTTTATTTGTTTGTTTGGTTTTTGTTAGAGCTGAAGGAGAGGATCCGTAAGGAAGAGGAGAAGGGGGTGACGGCGGCCGCCGCGCTGTTCCTGGATGTCCTCCTGCAGCTGGAGGCGGTGGGATGGTTCCGGGGCTTCATCGACGCCCTGGCTGCAGCAGGTCGGTGCCCGCTCGTAAGCGTGGTCTCCTCCCCTTCTCCTTTTCCCTTGCCGGACCCGTGTTCGGCTGGACGGACCAGCCAAGAGGCCCTGGGATGTGAAGCATCTCTCCCTTACCCTTGGCCTTCTGCAGTCAGGTCGTGTCACATCTGATGAGATGGAGGGAAAAAAGTAGGATGGCAGAGGATGGAAATAAAACTCCTCAAAGCCACGGGGAAGCATCTGAGAAGCAGCTGGAACAATTTTGTTTATGGAGAAAGTCAGTGAAAGATGACGGGATATAGAACAAAGCTTCATTGAGGGGAGACTTCTCTATCTCGGGGCGTTTAGAGAAGAAATAACATCACCATTGTTCAGTTAAAGGAAGCTAAATCCTCTAAAAGAGAAAGCCACGTGGGTTTCAGGATTTGTGTGGGGGTTAGCTGGTAGCACAGGTTAACTTCATTCAAGGACAGTGTTAAATTAGAAACTGATTTTTCAAAGTTATTCAGAGGTCTCAAGAGGTAAGAAACTATTAATACTTTATAAATGAGAGAATCCTTAGTTGCTGTGACTGCTTTGATGTGCTAGGCACTAATGCAATTTCCTTTCTGACATGTGACAGAAGAGATTGTGAAGGTGTGAAATTACCAGGATTTGCCATCTTCCCTCTGTACATGTAGGTTCTGTCATAGAATCTTGTTGGTAATTTGTTAGGTAACTTGAATCCCAAAATCTCATCTCACTATTAGCTACAGGTAGTTACCGTATCTCAGCGAGCAATTATTACAAAATTTCTTTTCACTTTGATGTAGCCCACTCTCCCCTTAAAGCAAATAGTAGGTTCAGAGCAGTGATAGTCCTTATACCAGCCTGTGATAGTCCTAATTTGTGAATTGCAAAAATACCTTCTTTAAACGTGTTGATAGCGTTCAGTGAGGTGCATCTTCAGCAGAAAACTGAAAACATTAACCTGCTGACTCCAAGTGTTATCCCAAGTACTTACTAGCGACAGGACGAGAGGAAATGGCCTCAAGTTACGCCAGGGGAGGTTCAGGCTGGATATTAGGAAAAATTTTTTCACCGAAAGGGTTATCAGACATTGGAATGGGCTGCCCAGGGAGGTGGTTGAGGCACCATCCCTGGAGGTGTTCAAAAGACAGGTTGATGTGGTGCTGGGAGATATGGTTTAGTGATGGTGTTGCTTTTTGCTTGTTGTGTGGGTAGGTTTTTTTGTCAAAGTCAGGTTGATGGTTGGACAAGATGATCTTTAAGGTCCCTTCCAACCTAGAAGATTCTGTGATTCTGTAATTGTGCCTGAGACTAGAATATAGTGTTACTCTTATATTTGGCAGATGCAGAGATAGGTGATAATTAGATTATAGACATGGTGGTAGTAAGTTTCTACAGTCGCTTCTGCTCCTCCACAAGAAAATAAAAAGTTGAGCAAATTCCTTCTGTGTGCCCACAGCTCCTGTGGGACCCTGACCTGCTTTCTTCCACCTCTGTCTGGAGCCTACACAGCAAATCACACAAGTCCTATAAATACAATTCCAATAAATAGGATAAATACTGTCTGATCCAGGACAGTATTTTCAGCTGTTGGCTGACTGTCTACGCTGCAGGGTTCTGCAGGTGTTGCTTTCAGTCAGTGACTGTCTGGAATCCAACAGGAGAAGGATTTTTGAAAGAGGGTGGAGCCAAGGGCAGGACTAAAAGGCAAAGGGCTGGTAAATAAAAGAAAAGGGACCAAAGGTGTTTGTGATTCTGAGCAGTGTCCTGTTCTCTGGGAATTCCTGTGGAAGAATATCATGGCCTGCAGGGATCCCAGAATTGTATGGAAGGGGCTTGTTACGGCTGCTTTGGCTGATGTGAGCTGTGACATGTAGCTCTTTTTTCCCTTCCCAGGTGTTACTGCTTTTTTAGCACAAGGTTTTTCATGTTATACATACAAGTATAGCTGTAAAGGAAAACAGTCGCTTAATCTATAAAAATCATATGCAATTCACCTAGATTTTTGTCATTCTCAGGTAAAAATAATTTTTACTTCCCAGTGGTGTCCCTCAGGTCTCAGTTTTGGGGCCAGTCTTGTTTAATATCTTTATTGATGATCTAGGTAAGGGGATTGAGTGCACCCTCAGTAAGTTTGCAGATGACACCAAAGCTAGGTGGGAGTGTTGATCTTTCTGAGGGTCGGAAGGCCCCACAGAGGCATCTGGGCAGGCTGGATCAATGGGCCAAGGCCAATGGGATGAGGTTTAATAAGGCCAAGTGCTGGGTCCTGCATTTCGGTCACAACAACTCCAGGCTTGGGGAAGAGTGGCTGGAAAGCTGCTCAGCAGAAAAAGACCTAGGAGTGTTGGTGGACAGCCGGCTGAACATGAGCCAGCAGTGTGCCCAGGTGGCCAAGAAGGCCAACAGCATCCTGGCCTGTATCAGGAACAATGTGGCCAGCAGGAGTAGGGAAGTCATTGTGCCTCTGTACTGGGCACTGGTGAGGCCTCACCTTGAGTGCTGTGTTCAGTTCTGGGCCCCTCACTACATTGAGGTGCTGGAGCGTGTCCAGAGGAGAGCCACCAAGCTGGTGAGGGGTCTAGAGAACAAGTCACACGAGGAGAGGCTGAGGGAACTGGGCATGTTTAGTTTGGAGAAGAGGAGGCTGAGGGGAGACCTCATTGTCCTCTACAGCTCCCTGAAAGGAGGTTGTAGAGAGGTGGGTGTTGGCCTCTTCTCCCAAGTGAATAATGACAGGACCAGAGGAAATGGTCTAAAGTTGCGGCAAGGGAGGTTTAGATTAGATATGAGGAAGAATTACTTTACTGAGAGGGTGGTCAGGCACTGGAACAGCCTGCCCAGGGAGGTGGTGGAGTCACCATCCCTGGAGGTATTTAAGAAATGTGTAGACATGGCAATTCAGGGCACGCTCTAGTGCCCGGGATTGTTGGTTTGTGTCTGTTTATGGGTGGGTGTGGGGTGAGTGTGGTGGTTGGTTTTTTGGGGGGTTTTCTTTGGTTTGTTTTTTTGTTGTTTTTTTTTTTTTTTTTGTGGTTGGAATCGATGATCTCAAAGATCCCTTCCAACTGTGAAGATTCTGTGATTCCATGATTCTCTGTGGGTGAGAAAATGGTTTTTTCAGCTTATTCCTACCTATTCTAGGTAAAGATTGAATTTATAGTAACAATTTGTCTCTTTTTCTGAAAGGTTACACGGGACTGGCAGAAGCCATTGAAAACTGGGACTTCAGCAAACTGGAAAAACTGGAGCTGCACAGGCAGCTGCTGAAGCGGATAGAAGCAACGATGCTAGAAGTTGATCCGGTGGCACTCATGCCCCACATAAACATGTGCCTGATAGAAAGGGAGTGTGATGAGATCCTGCAGGTAGGGTTAATGGTGACACCCCAGCATTTACCTCGTTTTGCTGCAGAGAAGAGCTGGTTGTTTCTCTTGCGGGAAGAACTGGTGCCCATCCGTCAGGCTGCTGAGTGAGGAGGATGGCCAGCCACGGTCCCCTAGGGAGGGAAGTCACTTTCTACTGCTTAGAGGAGGCTTTGCTATGTGGCTGGAGCTTCCCACAGGTGCTTGTGACACCTGCAGTTCTTGTTCTTCACTCCTCCAGCTCGATGGGTAAGGCAGCGTGCAAAAAGGTTGCAGGCAGGAAAGCGGGATGGGGTGGCTTTGGCATTGGCAGTGCTCTGCTGTACATCTTTGCAGGGTCCAGGGTCCCATGAAGAGACCTCGAGGCCTCTGGAAGGTGCCACAATACAGTGAAATGGGTGCCTTGCTGTGCCTTTGAAATAGAATCCTTTCTTGAGCATTCACGCTACATCAACGCTCCAAGAAGTAGAGCTGGATGTAGGCAAAGTGGCTTTTAGGTGTTGTCTAAGTTGATTCTTGCTTGTCATGGCATTTGATATAGTCTAGTACCTTAAGTTGTGGCAACCCCTAGAAACTTTGTGTGGCTCTTTGACTTTTGTCAGCACCCAAAGCAACAGTTGTAGAGTGAAATGAAACTTCTGGGCTGAAGTCATTAGCTAAATCCTGTGTGACAGAGAACAACAATATTTCCATTGCCTTTGTGTGTGCAGCCACCTTACTGTTACTCGGTTCTAGCTCGGTGTCATTACTGATGACGCATAACAAGTGATATTACCAATTGCTCGTCATTTATGACTGGTTAATAATAGGTTATTGATGCTGTGTGAAGGAGTCTTTTAGGTGTTCTCGCTCCTTATGACTCCTGAGAGGGATTGTTTGCAGCTATTTTATTTTTAAAGCAGTATTTCTTTATGGAGATACATGACCTTTGGAAAACTACTGTATCTGACCAAACATCAGGCCTGCCCTAAATTTTGTACTTTTTGCATTTTCCTATTCTGGAATATTTTTTAATCAGTTTGGCCTCAGAGGTTTGTGGCAGATACAGTTTATTACAAGGATCTTGCCAGATAGAAATGCACAGAATAGCTCTTCAGTGTTTCAGGCCTTGTGAATTTACCTTTGAGCAAATAGCCCAGCTGCTGATGTAGCCCAGCTAAATTTTGTGTATGCTTATTATGACAGAATTGCAGCAGTAGTAGGTAAGTGATTGAATTTTATTGGAAACCTTTTATTCTGTGAGAATGAGGCACAATTTTCAACTGAACATCAGACAAACCAAATCAAAATATCAATCAAAGAACGGTGGTTTTGATCGCTCAGAAGCTACAGCAACTTCTGTTTGTTGTGTATGCAGATTAGCGAATACAGAAGCAAAACAGCTGGGATAACTAAACTCATTGAATGCCTCTGTCGATCGGATAAGGAAAACTGGCCGAAAAGCCTTCAACTGGCCCTAGATTGCACAGGATATTATAATGCAAGTGAACTGTGGGATATGAGAGAAGGTAAACTGTAAATTGTTTTTATGATGCGCTTTTCCAGTTCTTGTGCCAGACAGTAAATTCTTTTCAGGACAATAAGACTAATTTAAAAGGATACCGTCAGACTGCATTGGTCATTCTTGTTTAAAAATAAAACCCTATTTTTTTTTCAATTAAGATGTCCTATATATAAAATGAAATATAGGTGCTACCCTATGAACTGTAAGAAATTATTTTTTGAGTATTTTTCCTCCCATATAACTTCTAGTTGGATTTACTGAATGCCTTCTTTGCTTCAATCTTTACTGCTAAGGCCAGCCCTGAGGAATCCCAGACCCTGGAGATAAGAGAAAAAGTCTGGAGAAAGGAAGATTTTTCCCCTGGTTGAGGAAGATCAGATTAGAGATGATTTAGGCAAACCTGACACCCACAAATCCATGAGCCCTGGTGTGGTGCCCCTACAAGTGCAGAGGGAGCTGGCAGAAGTCCTTGCTGGGCCAACTTGGAAAGGTCCTGGAGAACAGGCGAGGTGCCTGAGGGCTGGAGGAAAGCTAGTGTCACTCCAGTCTGCAAAAAGGGCAAGAAGGAGGACCCAGGAAACTGCAGGCTGGTTCCATCCCTGGAAAGGTGATGGAACAGCTCATCCTGGATGTCATCTCTAAGCATGTGGAGGGAAAGAAAGTTATCAGGAATAGTCAACATGGGTTCACTGAGGGGTAACTAAGTGACTATGTTCATTTTTTGCAAAAAATGCAAACTTTCCCCTAATAAGATATATCCTTTGTCATTGAATTTACCTTTTTCCACTTGATAAATACCTATGTGAGTACTCTGCAGCATGGGAGAATTTAGAGTACTTACAGTATTTTACTACAAAATAATTGTGAAAGACAAGTTTTTTAGATAAACTGGGTTGTGTTTATTTGCATCTACATTTGCTTTCTCCCAAACCATGTGATTAATGGTTAAAATGGTTTTTAATCATCAAGTGGGACAAAGTATTTCTAAGTGGCTTCATGAGCAATATTTCTTATTTTGAAATGTTTTTATTGCTGTAATCAAATGTATGTAATTTCTTATCTGGAGAGTTAATTATTACATATATTTAAAATTATATATTAATCAATTATCAATTTCTAAATAATTACATATATATAAGAATAATATGTATATACATACTATTTCATGTAGGTGGTGGCTACACATTATTTGGTTAACAGTTATATAAGTTAAAGATATAACTTTATAACTGAGGCAGCTTCTGCTAACATCCAACTTAAAAAAGCCACAGTCAGTCTACCGAAGAAACGTTGTCCCTATTGGAAGCATTTTAATGCCAGCAGTTAAGAAGTGTTGCTAGTAGAAGTTAATTTGAGATACTGTGTGCTCTCTGGAGGGTGTAAATGTGCTCTTTCTCCCTCTCCAAAAGCAGCACTTTGTAATCATATTGTCTGTTTGCAATGAGACTCTTCATGCAGAGCCCGGTGACGGTTCTTTGAGAAGGTAATAATTATGGAGCCAAAGAAATTTTGAGCAAGCATTTTTGGAACCTCTCTTGGTTATTGTGTAAGACAAAGGATGGAGATAGTCTTACAATTTCTAGGTCCTTCCAAGAGGTGGAGTTAAGGGAGAACAAAGTCTTAAATTTACAAAGCTTCTTTGAACTCCTAAGTATTTTTCATGCTTGTGGTTAATGTCCATGTTCAATCTGTAATCTTGTCACTAAACACAGAGGATATAACTTTCCTCCCATTCTGTTATCTCCCTTGATTTTTAAGGGATAGATAAATATGTGTTGAGTATGTGGGTCTTTGAAACCCAAGACTCGGTGCTATCCATCTTACTGGCAAAGCAGTCTGTATGCAGCATCATTTGATGTAGTCTTTCCATGCTAGCAAACAACTTCTTCACCTTGTCATCCCAGCAAATAACAATATTTTGAAATCAGAAGGATCAATAGCATGCCTTTTTTTTTTTTTTAATGTGCTTGTACAGATAATGGCAAAGATGTTGATGATGATATCACAGATGCCTCTGAGAACAGCTTTGAAACCACCATGACATTTTCTGAAGAAGCAGAATGTGATAACAATCTCAGTGAAAATCTCTGTTCAGCTGTAGGTAAGACTTTGCAACTTAAAACAGTTTGTGGCGAGAATTCTCCATTTCCTTAGACTCCCAAAGGACGCAGATGCGATATGCCACAAAGGAAGGTACTGAGGAACTAGATGAATCTCTGACTTGATTTCACTGTCTTGTTTTAATGGCTCTCATACTGAGCATTGCAAATGTTAGGGCTTCCCCCCAACGTTTCTAGTGCAGATTTGCTCTGCCAGCATATAATCAGAAAGGTCTCCAAACACCAGAGTGTTGTTGATGCATCTCATCTCTGATATAACTAGTTCACGTGAATTGATATTAGCCCGTTTAGAGAGCTGAATGTGGCTGCAAAGGGTCTGTAGAGTGGCTGTCCTGTCTCATATGGCAAATTTTGTTCCACCAGTGGTTTCTAGTTCCTGTTCCATAAGAGCAAACCCCCTGACAAGACCACAATTTAAGATAACGTTAACTTCAGAAGTCTGTAGAGCAGAAGACGGTGCATATATTTGGGGGAAAATAAGCCCTTGTGTTTCTTTCTGAGTTGAAAATGACCAGTTGAGGTGAGAGCTGTCAGCCAAGACCTTGAAATCTTTGGAAGCACACTTGAGTGGTAACAAAAGTGTGCCATCAAAGCTACACAAAACTCTTGTCTGGTGTGTACATCTTGTTAAAAGATTTATCTCAGAGAATACTTTGTGTGGGGACTGTGGGAACTCTACCTTGATCCTTTTAGATAGCAACTGTATGGGGTGCAATATATTTCATGCATTTCCGTTGCAGCACTCCTCACAAAAACATGGTTCTCTCCTAGGAGGGATCGAGCAGCCTTCACCTGTTTATGAACCAAAGAAGGCTCGGAGCTACCAGATTGAACTTGCGCAGCCTGCTATCAGTGGGAAAAACACAGTGATATGTGCCCCCACAGGTAAGAAAACACATGTTTCTTAGAAAAATTGGTGGAGAGGGCTGTGAAGAATGGGGAAGGGTAATGGTTGAGTCAAACTTTTCTAGCTGTTTATTTAAAAGCAGTCTTCCCTGCAGGAGTAATCCAGCTCTAACCTGAAATTAATGACCAAGGGCAGCACAGAGACTGAGCAAGACAGATGAGTCTCCTGGCATTTCAGTGCTTGTTTTCAGATTTCCATGTTCTGACCTCTGCTTTCTCACTTCCCAGAGGAGATTTTTGAGTGCAAAGTTGGGCCTGCAAGTTGAAGGAAAAGTAGGATGAGTTGCCCAGAGACTCCCTTGTCTTCTGTACTGCAACGCCCGCAACATCAAAACGGCACAGGGAACTTCTGTTGTAGCTCAGGACAGAGTTAGGATGATTGCAGTTCAGCAGCGAAAGAGACGAATGGTCTTCCTCTCCAGCTGTGTTTTCCATGTTGCCAGCAGTTGGGGTAGCAGAGGCAGGGACACCCAGGAGCTCCGGGTGGCCTTGAACAGCCAGCCTGAGCGCTGCAGGAAAAGAAATGTGAGAGGAGCAAGGCTGCATGGGCAAGGATGGAACTGAGAGTGCCCGGTGCCTGTATCATTGTCTGATTTGATGTGGGATTTGCACACTCTCAGAGCAGAAATAGACTCAATGATTTCAAAGAACGCAAACAAAATGGAAAATGGATTTTCCTTCTCGGTGACTGCCATATGATCTTTGCAGACTGAGACAGCGAGGGAGAAAAGGATGATTACCCACCCGAATAAGCAGCAAACGTGTTCAAATCTGTCCCCAGAGAGTCCAAAGTGTTACATACCCCTTGTCAGCTCCCCGTTGTTACAGGACATCCAGATGACACAGGCTTCTGCTCACAAAGATCTAATGCTCTGACTTTCATGTTCTTTGTTTAAAGGATCTGGAAAAACTTTTGTGGCACTTCTGATTTGTGAACACCACTTGCAAAACATGCCTGCAGGACGGAAGGGGAAAGTTGTCTTTCTTGCAACTAAAGTGCCAGTGTATGAACAACAGAAAACTGTATTCAAGCAGCACTTTGAAAGAAGGGGGTAAGTGTAATTCAACCTGGTGGCTTCCTCCACAGAAAGTAAGCTGCCCTCTAGGTCAGCTGTGGCTAGGGGAAAATGTAATGGGTTTACTGGTGACAAGAGTGTTTGGCATTAACATAAGGGTGATGCCTAGTGATAAAAATGGCAAGTTACCAGGGTAGACTGTCTGGAGAGTCTGGAGTCTGCTTTTGGAGAATTTAAACACTGGTTGTGCAGCATTGATGGAGATGGCCAAAGTATACCTGTGCTTGCCTCTCAAAAAGGGTGAAGGGTGTTCTCTCTTGAGACTCCTTTCAGCCCTGCTTCCAAAAGACGAGGCAGTTCCAGGCAGCAGCAAGTGGGATTCCTCTTGCCATTCTCAAATGGCAGAGTCTCTTTTTTTTTTCCAAATGGAAGGACCCAAACTTCCTTGGTTTTTCAACGTCCAGTCAGACAATGACAGTCCACTTCTCAGATGGAACTGAAAATTGCTTAGGGGAGTATCAACAACATACAGTTTCTGATAGCAACTGATTACTGAATATCCACATATGAATCCTTATAATTATGGAAAAATGAGGTTGCTGGACAGAAAGCAGTTCCGTGTTGCCAGACATATACAGAAAAGGGATGAAGGGCACGATCTCCAAATACTGTGAACTGACAGATGCAGCTTAAATGTACAAAATCACCACCCTTCAAATCTAATATATTTTAGTTAATTGGCAATGAAAATCCAGTTGTTTACCCTCAGCAGTTTGTTTTTTTTCAGCTGCTGTGGGTGAAGGTTCCAGCCATTTTGAACTTAATCACTACCCTTCAGGCTTGCTCAAAAGTCCATCTTTCTAACTTTCTTTTGCATGGCAAGACATCCTTTTTCATACCCTATTTTTTGCCTCTTCTTCGTAGATATTCTGTTCAAGGAATTAGTGGTGAAACAGCTGCAAATGTCTCTGTAGAAAAGGTTATACAGGACAGTGACATCATTGTGCTGACACCTCAGATTCTTGTGAATAGCATCGAGGAAGGGATCCTTAGCTCCCTCTCCATCTTCACTCTGATGATATTTGATGAGTGCCACAACACTACGGGCAACCACCCTTACAATGTGTTAATGACCAGATACCTGGAACAAAAATTTGACTCCTCTGCAAACCAGCTGCCTCAGGTAAGACCCAGCCTGTCACTGGTGGAAACATTAGAGAAAAGTATTTTGCAGTGCAGTCGCCAAAGCCTGAACTCCTGCCTTTTGCATTAATCCAGTTCAAACTCCCATTTAACAATGGCTGCAAATTGAAACGGTAGCATCTGGAACACTTTTTCCCCTCTCCTTGGACACCTCCAGGCTGTTTTCCCATGTTACATCTTCTCTCCAGCTGCCAAGAAGGACTGATCAAGCATGACAGAGACCAGAGTACTTGAGAGCACACAGGATTGCTGGGCTGGGAAGAAAGCATGTGCCCCAGAATTTAGTGATGTTCTTGTCACCTCTCTGTTGCTGTCTTCTGCAACTATAAAATGGGTCTGCTGCCTCCGCTGGCAGGAGGTTTTGGTCCAGCTGAGAAGACATCTCCTCTGAATGAACGCGGAGGACCGTTCTGGGGGTGGATTTGCTCTTTCTGTGTATGATGAGCACTGGCAAATACAGCTGGTTATGGATTTTAGTGGGTGGATAATGTATTTCCAGTATGAATACTCTAAGCTTGAATGCCTTGGAGAAGGCATGAGTGAGGACAAGGTTTGGCTCTCATGATTTAGTCATTGCACTCATGCCTGTTGTGTTTCCTTGTTTTTGAGGACAGCGACAACTTGGAGATCCTAGCAATGACTCCTGATCATTTTTTTTTCATTTGTGACAAAGGAACAACCACTGCTATTCATGTGTGTGCTCAGATTATAGGTTTAACTGCTTCTGTTGGAGTTGGTAATGCCAAGAACGTCAAGGAAACAATTGAGCACATCTGTACCCTCTGTTCCTACCTCGACATACAGGCCATATCCACTGTCAGAGAGAACAAAGAGGAACTGGAGAGATTCAGCAACAAGCCAGATACACTTAAGCACTCTTTGTTTTTATTTTCCCATGAGATGCAAAGCACCATAACTAAGGCAACAATACAATTCCCCTTTGGTCAGGTGAAGCTGAAAGCTTAAAACTAAGCTGGAGCTTTGCTTCCTGCTAGCTTGAAAGGAGTTAAAGCGTGTGCTTCACTGTTGTCCCACAGTAAGGCAGTGCACATTTGGGCAAATTTTCTCTTTGCTGAGATCCACAATCTCTAGTTTTCGTTCAGCTCTGCCAGTCAAGATTGGGGGCTGTGTCTTTCTTTCTCTGCAACTGTAATGCTCATTAACAGTAAACACTATAATAATTGCATAGACCACCGCATGTATCATTCTTCTAGACAAGAATTTGTTGTGCGCTGCTCAGGGAAATGTTTTTACTTATTCAAGGCACTGACTTCCGTTTCTTGTCTCTAGATGTCAGATGGGTTAAAATGCGAGTTCAGAATCACTTTGCAGACATTATCTCAGGTCTGATGTCTGAGACAGAAGTGTTGATGAGGAAGATTTACACAGTGGGTAAGATACTGTAATATGCCTGTACCTGGGATTCAGTCTTTGATTACATCACTGTGAATCCTCATGGCTGCTGGAACAGTCACTCTTTTTCCCCTTCCGTTCTCCTCCGTTTTTACTTGCCTTTAACCAATATTTCCTAAATAAGAGGTTAAAGATAGAAGAGTCAACTATTTTCCTGTTATATGTGATTAGTTTGATAATCATAAATATTTTTTCTTGGATTTCTACCTGTGTTTCGTGCAGCTAAGGATGGTGTGCTTTTGACACTGTCAGATCACTTTGAATGTTTAAAGAATCTGAAACAAGACTACCAAAAGGCTTCCTTTCAAAATGCAATGAGCTGGATTTCATTGATGAGAGACCTCTGTGTTTGTATTTAAGCATTTCTCCAAATGCTTCATACCTAAATATGTCCCTGTTTAGGAAAACAAAAAGGACCTCTGTTAACAGTGTTACTCTGAATGTTGTGATTTCTTCCTTTCAGCAAAAGCTTCCTTTCACTCTTGCTGCTCTGACACTTCTCATATTTTCTCTGGTCTCTCTGAGTTGCACTTGGAGTTATTTCTAGGGGTGCCCTGACGACCTTTTCTGGACAGCATGTTGTCCTCTATACCTGTGGGTACCTCTGTTTCCACTGGTTACCAGGTCTTTGTTATTTCCTACTGAAAAGCATTTAAGGTAATTTTACAGAGAAGGATCTGTTGAACATGAACACCACCAGAGAAAGGATATGGCTGCCTAAGAAAGGCAACACTTGTCTGTAGGATTCCAGCCTCAGGAGCTGCGGGTGTGCCAAGAGGGAGGTGCATGGCCATGAGAAGGGAACAGGTCTCACCATCATGAGACCTAATTCTGCAGAAATCAATTGATCTTTTCTGCTTTTGCAGAGTTCCTAAGTAGTGTCCAGTAAGTGGCTGTTATCGATACATTTGAGAGCTGCAGGGCACAGAGCAGAGACCCAGGGATGGTTATCAAGGATCAGCCTTGGTCTATCCAGCTCCGAATTACAGGAATTTTTTTCTCTGCTTATATTGGCGTTTCCAAATTGACTAGAGTGCCTTAAGTTTGTTCACCTCTTTGCTATACTTTCTAGATTACACACACACACACACTTTCCAGACAGTGGAGAGTGAATTATATTCTGGGGCAGGGAGAGAGAATTAAAAAAACCCGACCAAACAAAAAAAAACTCCAGCCAACCAAATAAAACCCAAACCGAAACCCAAGAAATGCCAACAAAGAACAAATACAGTGGGATTTTCAAACTGCACACTAAATTAAGCAAACACTTCTGAAGCCTGTTTCTGCATCACTGTTCCTCTTGCATGAATGCCAATGGCTTCCCTTGTGTGGACCCTCTGATTACTGAAGTTTGTGAAGTACTGAGACAGAGTATGTATGTGACAAAGAGGTACCGACCAGTTCTGCCTCAAGAACAGGCCATTGGATAACATGCCTCTAAGGACCACGGACCGTTTAGCAAATGGTTACTTAATTATCGAGTAGCTGGTAATTCAAGGAGCAACACACATGCAGCGTCTTGAATACTGGAGGCTTCTGGTAGGGTACCGAGCTCCAGTTTTATTGATAAAGACTCTGCAGATGTTTGTATGTACACAGATCCTGAGTTCAATTGTACTGACATAGCCTAACGTCTGGATATATATTGAAACACAGGGAGTGAAGAAGACATACCCAGACTCCTCTCAGATGGTTCCCAGTGATGGGACAAGAGGTAGTGGGCTCAAACAGAAATACTTAATAGGAAGAAATTCTTTGCTGTAAGAGTGGTCAAACACTGGAACAGATTGACCAGAGGAGTTGTGGAGTCTCCATCCTTAGAAGTACTCCAAATCCATTTGGACATGATCCTGAGTGACCAGCTCTAGGTGACCCTGCTTTGAGCAGAGCGTTGGACTAAAGACCTCCACGGGTTCCTTCTAGCCTCAGTGATTCTGTGATTATATCATACGGTGTTCTTCTGCATAGGCTTTTTAGACCTAACATTCATGGAAAATGTGTTATTTTCTAGCTAACTGTTCTGGTTATTTGTAAGTTAAGATGAAAACATGTTTGTTTTCCTCCTTCTTTACTAGATACTATCTCCCAAATCAACAAGAATGATTTTGGAACACAGAGATATGAACACTGGATAGTTGCAACTCAGAAGAAATGCAGACTGTTGCAACTGACAGATAAGGAGAAGGAGAGCAGCATTTGTAGGGACCTTTTCATTTGCACCGAACACCTGCGGGTAAGTCTATATCCTCTCTCCTTCCATACAGAGGTGGAGCCGTCCGGTTCCTTTTGACACAGGTGTATTCACCTAGGAAGCAAGTTTTGAACATAATAATTTTATTTGACACAGGTTAAAGCATAGTGTGTAGGAGTTGTGTCTTAAGGTACTCACTAAGAACAGTGTAGTGCAAAGGAGACTTTGTAGTGATTGTGTTGTCACACAAATGGAATAACAACACAAGTTTGTAATACTTAATCTAGGTAAATAAAATCTGTGCTCATCCTCTGCCCCATGGAAAATGAGGTTTAAACGTGTATGTCTCTTTCTGAGCAGAAATTCAATGATGCTCTCATCATCAGCGAAGATGCCCGCCTTGAAGATGCTTTAGCCTACCTCACTGAATTTTTCACAAATGTCAAAAATGGACCGTATACAGAGTTAGAGAAGAAACTGACAGCCAAATTTCAAGGTATTTCACACAGTTGCAGGGGAAAAGAGGGTTTATGGTAGGATGATCGAAGTCTTCAGAGTGAGTGCAGTTGTTTTTCCAGAAACACGCTTTTCAGAAGATCTAGTGTCTCTGTGGGTGCAAATGTAGTGCTGGGGTAGGCAGGGGGGAACTTCAAGCTTCTAGTGCAGGAACTAAGGAAGGAGTAATATTATACCTAGATGCTGTAGTAGGTTCTTACATGCCTGTCTTGGAGATAAAGCAGTGGTGTCCTTCAGTAGGGGGATGGCCTACAATCATGGCTGCTGGCAGCTTTAGGTACGGCAACATAGTGCACTGCCCAGCCTCCTCCTGCCCAGTCCTCCTGGACAAATCCCAAACTTCTGGGAAGAAGCAGGCATCCCTTCCAAACTTCTGATTTAGTAGCAGTGTGCTGTAAGCCAGCCTGTGGTCTGGTGTGCTCCAATTTTACATCACTGGGTGTCTGCCCTCTAGTGTCAGTTGTCTCCTAAGAAGCAAGAGCACCGTTTTTTGCAAGAACTGAGCTTGTTTTGTTTTGTCTTGTGATACACAGTATGTCACAGAGGTTCTCCTTTCAGTTTGCTACAAAGTGGGAGAGATTCAGGTTTTGTTTTGGTTTTTTTTCCCCCTGGAGATTTTGTTGCATTTAACTGATAGCTTTCTTTGCTTCCATTTGAAAGAATGGTATAGAAAATAAAAATAGACGCTAAAGAGAATGTGGGTGGCATTTGAAAGTCGGTTTGGGTGAGAACTGCATTAAAGAAGGTAAATTATTCAAGACACTGCTGTTTTCTTCCAGAGAAAGAACCAGAACTGACTGCCCTTTCAAAAGACGAATCAAATGAGAATCCCAAGCTGGAAGAGCTTGCTTGCATCCTGGATGAAGCATACCGCTATAACCCTGAGACTCGCACTCTTCTCTTTGCTAAGACAAGAGCCTTAGTAGCTGTAAGACATTTCTTTTTAAAGCTCCTAATGTGGAAAGTGAGAGAATACAATGCCTTATCTATTACCCTTCACATTTTGATCTGGAAATAGAAAAATATGCATGTATTTGACCTTCCTAAGAAAATACTTATCTTTCTGTGTCTTCCTAAGCACTGAGACAGATGAGACAGGATGAGGGTTTTTTTGTCTTTTTCTTAAAACTACCTTATAGGGGTGGCGTCCTTCATAGCTTCTTCTTGCTACATGTCATAGCTGATCATTAAGCCATCAGATTTTTACTTTAGGTCTGAAGTCAGTTTTAACAAGATGTGTTCCAAGGTTTTTGGTAATGTGGTAGTGTTACAAACTAGCAGCTCTGCTCCATTACTGACTGCACGGAGCTATTCAGAGTTTTCCCAGAGGTTTGCTGTGGGCCCAAAGGAGCTCTGTTCCCTAGCATGTGTTCTTGATCAAGAAAAAGGAAACTCTTTGTGCAGCATATGCTCTCTGGACCCTTCTGATGCACGAGTCTATTTCATACTTGCCTAGGATCAAGGATCTAGGCTGGATGATCTTTTCTCTCCCTTCCCATACCTTGTTCCCAGAAAAAGCCCATGCCTGACGTAAGTGTGCTGCTAATCATTAGCCTCAGTAGCTCTTAAACATTTACTGTGAGGTAACACAGTCTCTGGCTACTGTAAACAGATTTATCAGCTGAGAGTCCCAAGCCACATTTTATCCTTGGGTGTAGAAATGCTGGAAGAATTGCAAACCAGAAAAAAAAAAATTAAAGGCAGACTAAAGTCCAAACTGACAACAACAAGCATTTGCTGGCGATTTTCCATTATAGGTGTAGAAGCCTACCATAGCTTGGCTGAACTTTGTTCTTAGGTAAGAGCAGTTTGAGGGTGCTGTTTTCACTGTGCAGTGATGAAGTGCAGTTTGTAAATAGCAGCTCATTCCCTTTAGATGCCAGAGGTGCAGCATTTGATTTACAAGAGAAAAAGGCATACTTTTTAGCAGGGAAAGGCTGCTTGCCCTTAGCCAGCCTTTAAGTTGCAGGGGTGGGAAAAGTGGAAATCATTGTGGCCTGGTTGGATCTGGCATCATGGCTGTGACCTGTGCTTTCTTACCTGTTAATAGATGTTCCCTCCCAAGGCACACTTCCACCTTCCTTTCTGCTTTTGGTTCTTAGAAATACTAATTGTCTAGGCAATCACGGGCAGGATCTACCTATCTATCCCAAACTAGCATTTCATCAGGACAGAGGTCTAACTCCCTGATTTGCTTTCCAGGCTTTGAAGAAGTGGGTAGAAGTAAACCCTCTACTTAGCCACATAAAGCCGGATGTGTTGATGGGTCGTGGAAGGAGAGATCAAAAAACAAGTACGCAGGTTTGCACTGAGGAATACCACTTGCTAGACCTGTGGTGGTTATGCTGCCAAAATTGCTCAGCTTTTCCTGTGTTCCTCTTCTGCGCTCTTGAACAGAGGAAGGCCATGCAAGTTTGCACTATGCTTTCTTCCATATCTAGAAGACCTTTAACCAATTCTAAGGAGATGCTTGCTATTTCTGCCTGGAATCTTTGGTTAAAGCAGCAGTAACACTCTCAGTGACCGTTTGCTGCAGGAGTCTTTCCCTAGTTCAAAAGAAGTCTAGAAACTGTTTGGCTTACTGTGATTACTTCTGTTCCTTTTACAGGTCCCTCTCTTATTTTGTGTTTGGTGGCACAAAGGCATTTTAAGGTAGAATGGAAGCTAGAGCTGAAATGGGTGTCTCATAAAAATGAGCTCAGTGTTGTGTCTGCCGTGGCTTTTCCCAGGCTGACAGTTCTTGTGGCACATCAACAGGAATTCCTGCTCAGCGGGTATAGCGTGCAGCCAGCTGGATATTCAAACTTAAAGTACTTTTCTAGATCAAAATGACATGCTCGCTTCTAATCACTTAGTAAGAGCAAATGCAGGGATCTGGCTCAAGGAATTCTTCAGTGTTTTCTTCCTGACACAGTTTCTTGGTACTGTAGGTATGACCCTCCCAATGCAGAAGGGGATACTGGATGCATTCAAAACCGACAAGGACAGCAGACTGCTAATTGCTACATCTGTTGCTGACGAAGGCATTGATATTTCTGCATGCAATCTTGTTGTGCTCTATGAATACTTTGGTAACGTCACCAAAATGATCCAAGTCAGAGGTATGGAATTTCAGAGCTATTACTTTAGAGACCTCTTTGGGCCTAGAAAAAACCAAAGACTTTGGTCTTGAGTCCTGGTGATTTTACACTACAGCCAGTAGAGGGGAATGAAGAGCCACACCAAATACTGGTTTCTGTTTCACATTCCTAAATGTCATAAAACTGCCTACAGCTTTCAAGGGTGCACCTGCAAAATTTTATCATATCACCCGAGCAATTAACTTCATAATTTGACGGCAATTGATCTCCATTGTGCTCAGTCCTCTGCTTTCAGGGTTTGTGTCTTGCGATTTTCTTATTTTTGTCTTACCATGAAATAGTTGGTCCGGAATTCACATTTATGAGTGAAAGGGTAGTGTTTATTCTTAACAAGCCATTAAGGGTGGGAAGAAAATAGGATGTGTCAGCTTTAAACCACATAAAGTCATGATTTGGGGAGAATGGGAGCTCAAAGGTAAATGTGTGCATTTTTTCTAACTGAAATACTTCTGAACTGGTGTGAGATCCCTGGATGCTTGCTATTTCTGCCTGGAATCTTTGGTTAAAGCAGCAGTAACACTCTCAGTGACCGTTTGCTGCAGGAGTCTTTCCCTAGTTCAAAAGAAGTCTAGAAACTGTTTGGCTTACTGTGATTACTTCTGTTCCTTTTACAGGTCCCTCTCTTATTTTGTGTTTGGTGGCACAAAGGCATTTTAAGGTAGAATGGAAGCTAGAGCTGAAATGGGTGTCTCATAAAAATGAGCTCAGTGTTGTGTCTGCCGTGGCTTTTCCCAGGCTGACAGTTCTTGTGGCACATCAACAGGAATTCCTGCTCAGCGGGTATAGCGTGCAGCCAGCTGGATATTCAAACTTAAAGTACTTTTCTAGATCAAAATGACATGCTCGCTTCTAATCACTTAGTAAGAGCAAATGCAGGGATCTGGCTCAAGGAATTCTTCAGTGTTTTCTTCCTGACACAGTTTCTTGGTACTGTAGGTATGACCCTCCCAATGCAGAAGGGGATACTGGATGCATTCAAAACCGACAAGGACAGCAGACTGCTAATTGCTACATCTGTTGCTGACGAAGGCATTGATATTTCTGCATGCAATCTTGTTGTGCTCTATGAATACTTTGGTAACGTCACCAAAATGATCCAAGTCAGAGGTATGGAATTTCAGAGCTATTACTTTAGAGACCTCTTTGGGCCTAGAAAAAACCAAAGACTTTGGTCTTGAGTCCTGGTGATTTTACACTACAGCCAGTAGAGGGGAATGAAGAGCCACACCAAATACTGGTTTCTGTTTCACATTCCTAAATGTCATAAAACTGCCTACAGCTTTCAAGGGTGCTCATATCACTTGAGCAGTTAACTTCATAATTTGACGGCAATTGATCTCCATTGTGCTCAGTCCTCTGCTTTCAGGGTTTGTGTCTTGCGATTTTCTTATTTTTGTCTTACCATGAAATAGTTGGTCCGGAATTCACATTTATGAGTGAAAGGGTAGTGTTTATTCTTAACAAGCCATTAAGGGTGGGAAGAAAATAGGATGTGTCAGCTTTAAACCACATAAAGTCATGATTTGGGGAGAATGGGAGCTCAAAGGTAAATGTGTGCATTTTTTCTAACTGAAATACTTCTGAACTGGTGTGAGATCCCTGGAGTTCTTAGTTTGCCTATGTCACAGCAGCAAAGAGTAGGCAGGCAGTAGGCATAGACAGGTGGAAGAGATGGCCCTTGCTCTTGTCATCTGTTTTCTTGCCAGCGTTGTTTTTCCAGTTCCACAGATTTTTTGTGATAGATTTATTTTTTTTTAGTAGACACCAATTAGCAGGGCAGAAAGTAAGACTAAGGATGAGCTTTTCTCCTCTGGCTTTTGTTCCACAATAAGGCAGCGAGGTGCTGTACAATAACTGAAGTGTCGAGCGTGCCTGAGCCAAGCTGAGGCACATCCCAGAAGCAGGCAGTACAGCAGTGGCCGGGGAATGAGGATACGTTCTGGTTTGTGATCAAAGAAGAAAGAGCTGAGAGAACGCTGTTTAGAAGCAGCATTATCTGAATCGGAAGATGGGAAACAAAAGCAGCCAAGGGAAAGTCCTTAATGCTCTTTTATGGCAGAGCTGCTGCTTTTGCACATCTTGTTAAGAGTAACTAAAGAGGATAAATGTGTTGCTGTACAGGTCGTGGAAGGGCAAGAGACAGCAAGTGCATCCTTGTCACAAGCAAAACAGAAGTGGTTGAGAATGAGAAACACAACCGTTATAAGGAAGAAATGATGAATGAGGCTCTTGAGAAGCTACAGAATTGGGATGAAGCAACATTTGTAAGAAAGGTTGGTACTTCTGTGGAATTTTCATACTCAAATCTACGGGCATAATCTTTATCGGCCTTCATCTACTAGGGCTCTATCTAGGACCAAGTGATAACCTGAGGAAAGTCTTCCCTGCCTTTGGCCTCAGAGCAAGGCTAGATCAGCAGAGAGGGGCTAGTGTGTAGTGCTAGCTTGCAGAATGCCATCTGTACTGTAACTGTAAAATACTCAGAAGTTGAGGTAGAATTTATATAAACTTAGAAATAAAACATTTCTTAGATCTTAGAAATAAAATATAAACTAATCTGTGCACTGGAAGGAAAATATGGCTGTGCCTGCTTGGGATAGTGGACAGGGAGATGGGAAGTTGTGCAGATGGTGGTAATATATCCATCCATATTCAGGTTCAAAAGCACTTTATCTTTGCTGTAGGTCAGTACAAGTGCTTTTCTGAAGTCGTTTGTCATCATGCCATGGGATTGATTATTTCAGAGCAGGAGTTTCTGGGAGATCTCAAGAAACCATTGCCTGGGACATTAATAGGATGGCATTTTGGGTTGTATGCACTCTTCTCCTGGTGACTCCTTTTGTACTGCCTACAGTACTGTTCATCTTTGCTTCATGCAATGTCAGGACAATGAATAAGCCTAGCAGAACACCTCAGCACACGTTCAGTGCTTTACATGCACCCTGCTGTGTGCTGTACGCTTACCAGGTCAGAAAACATCATGAGTGTGGAAGGAAGTGTCAAGAACTTCTGGTGCTGAGGTGACATGCAAGAGGTGTCTCGGGCTAAGCCAATGGTGGACTTTTGGTCAGACAGGTTCCTGCCCAGCGCAGCAGGCACATCTCCTCCGTGACCACCCTGCCTTCCCAGGTGCCCTTATTTAATAGGTACAAGGCTCTGCAAGTGGAACCAAACAATGACAAGGACAATGGTTCATCTAGCTTGGTGTCACCAAGCTTAAGTTAATCTATGTCCTGCATCAAAACCACTTCCATAAAGAAAAAAAGATGGGTCATTGTCATAGGAGACTCTCTGTGAGGGGAACACAAGGCCTAACATGCAGACTGGACCCACTTCTTAGGGAAGTCTCTGGGGCATGGATTAAAGATGTGAAGAAAAGACTTCCTGCCCTGGTGTTATTATTATCCCTCGGATTATTATCCATTATTGATTTTTCATGTAGGCGGTGATGAAGTTGCACCAAGAAGTCTGAGGGCGATCAAGAGACACTCCAGACCCTTGGGATGACTGGTTAAGGAATCAGG